GTCCGTCGGGGGTGAGTGTGCTCTTGGCACGGACGTCCTTGAGGACAGACAGGAGGAGTTCCAGTGCTTTGCTGCTGCTTTGCCCCACCTCATGTCCATGCTAGTTGCCCCTGAGGGAGACCCGGATGCACCAGACATCCCGACCCCGCGCACCTACGCTGAGGCGATGGCGGGTCCCTACTCCTCTCAGTGGCAGACAGCCATGGACGCAGAGATGGCTTCTTGGAAGTCCACACGCACCTACGTCGACGAGGTTCCCCCACCTGGGGCGAACATCGTCAGTGGCATGTGGATTTTCAGGGTGAAGCGGCCACCTGGTTCTCCTCCGGTCTTCAAGGCGCGCTACGTGGCTCGAGGCTTCAGTCAGCGAGAGGGAGTTGACTTCTTTCAGACCTTCTCCCCCACCCCGAAGATGACCACTCTTCGGGTGCTGCTGCACATAGCCGCTCAGCGCGACTACGAGCTTCACTCACTTGACTTCAGCACTGCTTTCTTGCAGGGCAGCCTGCACGAGGAGATCTGGCTGCGCCGCCCTCCTGGCTTCACTGGGTCGGTTCCTCCTGGTACCCAGTGGAGGCTTCAGCGGCCGGTCTACGGTCTCCGCCAGGCACCGCGTGAGTGGCACGACACACTGAGGACGACACTTGCGGCTCTTGGGTTCGCTCCCTCCACTGCTGACCCGTCACTGTTTCTACGCACAGACACCTCGCTGCCACCGTTCTACATCCTCGTGTACGTCGACGACTTGGTCTTTGCCACTGCTGACACCGCGGCACTCGCCCACGTGAAGTCGGAGCTGCAGAGGAGACACATGTGCACAGACCTGGGTGAACTGACAAGCTATCTTGGCTTGCGGATCACCCGGGACAAAGCACGGCGCACCATCACCTTGACTCAGTCACACATGGTGCAGCAGATCCTTCAGCGCTTCCGCTTCACGTACTCCTCGCCTCAGTCCACTCCTCTGCCTACCGGTCACTCGCTCTCAGCTCTACCTTCGGATGAGTCCGTAGAGCCGAGTGGCCCGTATCCAGAGCTTGTGGGCTGCCTCATGTACCTGATGACCTGCACTCGACCTGACCTTGCATACCCTCTTAGCATCCTTGCACGCTATGTCGCTCCTGGCCGTCACAGGAAGGAGCACATGGATGCCGCTAAGAGGGTGTTGCGCTACTTGTGCAGTACGTCGGGCATGGGGCTAGTGCTTGGAGGGCGAGACAGAGTTGTACTTACTGGACACTCAGACGCTTCTTGGGCGGACGACCAGGCTACTCAGCGGTCGTCTCAGGGTTACACCTTCAGCCTTGGCTCCGGCTCAGTTTCTTGGCGTTCTACACGCTCTTCTTCTGTTCTCAGCTCCAGTTGTGAGGCTGAGATCTACGCCACAGCCATGGCTGCCCAGGAGCTACGCTGGCTGACCTACCTGCTGACCGACTTGGGAGAGCGGCCTCGTTCTCCTCCAGTGCTGTACGTCGACAACCAGGCTGCCATTGCCTTGTGTGAGGAGCACAGACTGGAGCACAGAACGAAGCACATCGCCCTGCGGTACTTCCTTGCTCGAGAGCTACAGCAGCGTGGTCAGCTTTGTCTGCGTTACGTGGCCACTGAGGCCAACCTTGCTGATGTGTTCACCAAGGTGCTTCAGCCTTGTGACCATCAGCGTTTCTGTACTCTTCTAGGCCTTGTGCCTGCTGGACCTCACTTGCTTACTTCTTGACTCTGCTTGTACTGTGATCACTATGTATATATATACCTGCATGTTTACACCTGCTAGGTTGAAATCATTGTATCTCTTGCTATATTATGAAACTGCATGTGAACTGGTCTTGTGACCACTTGCTTGTGCTCAGAATTTGTGTGGTATCCTTGAGATCCACCCTGAGCTTGCTTTGCTTTGCTTTGACTGGTCTCATGACCCTGTGGTTGTCTCCCACTGCGCCTATGGGGGTGTGTCAAACATTGTATGTTTATATTGTGTAGGCTGTAGTGGGTTACACCTTAGGGGGTACACAAAGTTAGGGTTTCCTACTTGTACCAAACTCTGAGCTAGTTCATTCATTCCTCGTTCAGTTATTCTTACAGAAAGGCATTCAACAACCTGAATGTTAATGCATATTCGAGTGCCACGTGTTCTAATACACCTACTAGGGCCTCTTCCGCCTGCTTCTTGTGCAAAGAAAAGTTCGGCGTGTACGATTTTGGCCGTTTTTTGCCGACAAATGCCTAGAAAGCCCATTAATCCCTATAGGCGTAAGGAAAAGCATTCAACAACCTGAATGTTAATGCATATTCGAGTGGCCCGTGTTCGAATACACAGAGCCTTCTCGGCCTGGTTCTTGTGCAAAGAAAAGTTCGGCGCCTACGATTTCTGCCGTTTTTGCCGACAAATGCCTAGAAAGCCCATAAATCCCTATGGGCGTAAGGAAAAACATTCAACAGCCTGAATTTTAGTGCATATTCTAGTCGCCCGTGTTCGAATACACCTACAAGAGCCTTTTCGGACTGGTTCTTATGCAAACAAAAGTTCGGCGCCTACGATTTCAGCCGTTTTTGCCGACAAATGCCTATAAAGCCCATTAATCTCTATGGGCGTAAGGAAAAGCATTCAACAATCTGAATGTTAATGCATATTTGAGTGGCGCGTGTTCAAATAAGCATTCAACAACCTGAATGTTAAAGCATATTTAAATGGCCCGTGTTCGAATACACCTACCAGTGCTTTTTCGGCCTGGTTCTTGTGCAAAGAAAAGTTCGGCGCCTACGATTTCGGCCGTATTTTCCTAGAAATGCCTAGAATGCATATTCGAGTGGCCTGTGTTCGAATACACCTACCAGAGCCTTTTCGGCCTAGCTCTTGTGCAAAGAAACGTTCGGAGCCTACGATTTCAGTCGTTTTTGCCGACAAATGCCTAGAAAGCTCATTAATCCCTATAGGCGTAAGGAAAAGCATTCAACAACCTGAATGTTAATGCATATTCGAGTGGCCCGTGTTCGAATACACCTACCAGTGCCTTTTTCGGCCTGGTTCTTGTGCAAAGAAAAGTTCGGCGCCTACGATTTCGGCCGTTTTTGCCGACAAATGCCTAGAAAGCTCATTAATCCCTATGGGCGTAAGGAAAAGCATTTAACAACCTGAATGTTTATGCATATTCGAGTGGCCCGTGTTCTAATACACCCACGAGAGCCTTTTCGGTCTGGTTCTTGTGCAAAGAAAAGTTCGACGCCTACGAATTTGGTCGTTTTTGCCAACAAATCATTAGAAAGTTCATTAATCCCTATAGGCGTAAGGAAAAGCATTCAACAACCTGAATGTTAATGCATATTCGAGTGGCTCGTGTTCGAATACACCTATTAGAGCCTTTTTATCCTGGTTCTTGTGCAAAAAAAAGTTTGGCGCCTACGATATCAGCCGTTTTTGCCGACAAATGACTAAAAAGCTCATTAATCCCTAAGGGCGTAAGGAAAAGCATTCAACAACCTGAATGTTAATGCATATTCGAGTGACCTGTATTTGAATACACCTACTAGAGCCTTTTCGGCCTGGTTCTTGTGCAAAGAAAAGTTCGGCGCCTACGATTTCAGCCGTTTTTGCCGACAAATGCCTAGAAAGCTCATTAATCCCTATAGGCGTAAGGAAAAGCATTCAACAACCTGAATGTTAATGCATATTTGAGTGGCCCGTGTTCGAATACACCTACCAGAGACTTTTCGGCCTGGTTCTTTTGCAAAGAATATTTTGGGGTTGTGAGGGAGAGGCGCCGCTGCTCTGGGGGTTGGGAGGGAGAGGCGCCGCTGCTCTGGGGGGTTGTGAGAGAAAGGCGCCGCTGCTCTGGGGGCTGTGAGGGAGAGGCGCCGCTGCTCTGGGGGCTGTGAGGGGGAGGCGCCGCTGCTCTGGGGGGTTGGGAGGGAGAGGCGCCGCTGCTCTGGGGGGTTGGGAGGGAGAGGCGCCGCTGCTCTGGGGGGTTGGGAGGGAGAGGCGCAGCTGCTCTGGGGGTTGTGAGGGAGAGGCGCCGCTGCTCTGGGGGGCTATGAGGGAGAGGCGCCGCTGCTCTGGGAGGTTGGGAGGGAGAGGCGCCGCTGCTCTGGGGGGTTGTGAGGGAGAGGTGCCGCTGCTCTGGGGGGTTGTGAGGGAGAGGCGCCGCTGCTCTGGGGGCTGTGAGAGAGAGGCGCCGCTGCTCTGGGGGCTGTGAGGGGGAGGCGCCGCTGCTCTGGGGGTTGTGAGGGAGAGGCGCCGCTGCTCTGGGAGGTTGGGAGGGAGAGGCGCCGCTGCTCTGGGGGGTTGTGAGAGAGAGGCGCCGCTGCTCTGGGGGCTGTGAGGGGGAGGCGCCGCTGCTCTGGGGGGTTGGGAGGGAGAGGCGCCGCTGCTCTGGGGGTTGTGAGGGAGAGGCGCCGCTGCTCTGGGAGGTTGGGAGGGAGAGGCGCCGCTGCTCTGGGGGGTTGTGAGAGAGAGGCGCCGCTGCTCTGGGGGCTGTGAGGGAGAGGCGCCGCTGCTCTGGGGGCTGTGAGGGGAGGCGCCGCTGCTCTGGGGGGTTGGGAGGGAGAGGCGCCGCTGCTCTGGGGGGTTGGGAGGGAGAGGCGCAGCTGCTCTGGGGGTTGTGAGGGAGAGGCGCCGCTGCTCTGAGGGCTGTGAGAGAGAGGCGCCGCTGCTCTGGGGGCTGTGAGAGAGAGGCGCCGCTGCTCTGGGAGGTTGGGAGGGGGAGGCGCCGCTGCTCTGGGGGGTTGGGAGGGAGAGGCGCCGCTGCTCTGGGGGGGTGTGAGGGAGAGTCGCACAGTGGGTCAGGGGTACAGTGGTGGGACATTGGGAGAGTGGGACAGTGGAACAGTGGGACATGAGCAAGAACTAGAGCAGGCAAAAGAGAGGAGGGCGTGAAATGCGACGACGAGAGACTGGCAAGTGCGTGGGGAGGGGGGGAAGTGGCACGGCAGCCGCTGCGCTGAGGTATAGCAGCAGTAAACACGAGGCAGCGAGGGGTGAGTGAGCAAGAGAGGAATTGACCCACCCAAGTGACACATGACAGGGGCAGCAGTGCGCAGCAGAGAGCAGATGGGTTGAGGGATGGGTGCAGTGGGGGCGACAGCGGAGGAGACGAGCGCCCAGGGCCACCCCACCACTCTCGCCTGCCTCGCCCCTGCTGCACTTTACACGACCTGCACTGCACACATGGCTTGCACGCGTGGATGGGTGGATGGGTGCATGGGGGGATTGGTGGGTGTATGTGTGGATGGGGGGTGGATGGGTGGATGCGTGAGCGGGTAAATGGATGGAGCAGGCGGGTGGATGGATGGAGTGGGCGGGTGGATGGGTGGGTGGGGGTGAGTGGGTGAATGTGGGTGGGCGAATGGGTGGGCGAATGGGTGGGGGAATGGGTGGGTGAATGGGTGGGTGAATTAGGCATGGGCAATTGACCCGGACGGGTCGGGTTAAGGGCGGGTCGGGTCAGTCATGCCGAGCATGTCGACCCGTCCGGGTCGGGTCGGGTATACCCGGACGGGTCGGGTCGACCCGTGACCCGTCTACGTGATTTTTAGACGGGTATTAGCGACCCGCCGGGTCGGGTTGACCCGTCCCGTCCAGGTCGCGTACCTAGTCAAATGATAGGGTTACCCGACCCGTGATCTGATTAGGGTACAATTTGTAGAGGGGGAGAACATCAGTTGGTTTCTTATGTTTTGTTTCCCCCTCGACATTCAGGTCCAGTCTCTAGCCTACCAAGCCTCTTAGAGCCTTGAACTCAATGTTAACACTATAATATACTTCTAAGTCAGGTTAGGCATAGGCGCTCCCGCCATTTCGCAGCGTCGAACGACCAGGAGCGCAGCAGCGCGCTCGCAGTCAAGCATTGGCGGGATCGCGACCACGAAATAGCGCGATAGCGGCCCCGCATTTGCGCAGCGCGATCGCGGCCCTGCATACGCGCGATCGCGACCCCGCCTACGCGCGATCGCGTCGCCGCTTTAGTGCAGGTCAGGGGCGGGCACGCATTGGCGGGATCGGATGCCCGCAATAGAATGAAGCAATTCAAACTTAACACCCATACCCTGCTGCTCTGTAGCAAGTTTTGACCCGACCCGACCCGACCCGTGGTGTAACCGACCCGGGTACGGGTCACAAATACCCGTGCCTACGGGGCGGGTCGGGTCATCAAAACAGAGTCAAACCCGACCCGCCGACCCGACCCGTCCCGACCCGTTTTGGTAACGGGTCGCCCTAGACGGGACGGGTCGGGCCGGGTCGGGTCAATTGCCCATGCCTAGGGTATTAATTTACCATCTATCCGAAAACTTAAATCAATTTCATTTTTTGCTAGAATCTCTCCAGTTAAAGATAAGGACTGTCCTGCTATTTTATGTATTACTTTAACCACTCGTACGGGACGTATTAGCTTTTCATCTTCTTTTTTAGAGGTATTGCCTGTAGACTTAATTACAATAATTGCAATTACAACAATAAGGGCAATACTTAAGGTATATTTATTGATTAGGCGAAAACCAGGTTGAATTATTGGCATCTAAGTAATAAATTTTATTGATCTAGTAAATTGGATGGGTGGGTGGGTGGGTGGCTGGGTGGGTGGCTGGGTGGGTGGTGGGTGGGTCGGTGGGTGGATGTGTGGATGGGTGGGTGGGCGGATGGGTAGATGGTTGGGCGGATGGGTGGATGGGTGGATGGGTGGTTGGGTGAGTGGGTGGGTTGAAGGGTGGGTGGGTTGGTGGTGGTTGAATGGGTGGGTGGAAGGGTGGGTGGGTTTGGTGGATGGATGGGTGGTTGGGTGGATGATTGAATGGGTGGGTGGATGGGCGGGCGGGGGGCGGGTGGGAGGGCGGGTGGGGGGATGGGTGTGGCGGGTAGAGGGGTGAATGGGTGGACGGGTGGATGGGTGGGTGGGTGGATGGGTGGGTGGATAGGTGGGTGGGTGGATGGGTGGGTGGATAGGTGGGTGGATGGGTGGATGGGTGCATGGGGGGATGGGTGGGTGAATGTGTGGATGGGAGGGTGGATGGGTGGATGCGTGGGCGGGTGAATGGATGGAGTGGGCGGGTGGGTGAATGTGGGTGGGGGAATGGGTGGGTGAATAGGTGGATGGATGGGTGGATGGGTGCTGCTGGGTAAGTGGGTGGGTGAATGGGTGGTGGGTCAATGGGTGGGTGGATGGGTGGGTGGATGGTGGGTAAGTTTGGTGGATGAATGGGTGGGTGGATGGATGATTAAATGGGTGGGTGAATGGTTGAATGGGTGGATGGGTGGATGGGCGGGTGGTGGATGAATGGGTGGGTGGGTGGATGAATGGATGGGTGGGTGGATGGGGGGCGGGGGGCGCGCAAGTGGATGGGCAGTGGACGGGTGGAGGGGTGAATGGGTGGACGGGTGGAGGGGTGAATGCGTGGACGGGTGGAGGGGTGAGTGGGTGGACGGGTGGAGGGGTGAGTGGGTGGACGGGTGGAGAGGTGAATGGGTGGACGGGTGGAGGGGTGAGTGGGTGGACGGGTGGAGGGGTGAGTGGGTGGACGGGTGGAGGGGTGAGTGGGTGGACGGGTGGAGGGGTGAATGGGTGGACGGGTGGAGGGGTGAAGGGGTGGACGGGTGGAGGGGTGAATGGGTGGACGGGTGGAGGGGTGAATGGGTGGACGGGTGGAGGGGTGAATGGGTGGACGGGTGGAGGGGTGAATGGGTCGACGGGTGGAGGGGTGAATGGGTGGACGGGTGGAGGGGTGAATGGGTGGACGGGTGGAGGGGTGAATGGGTGGACGGGTGGAGGGGTGAATGGGTGGACGGGTGGAGGGGTGAATGGGTGGACGGGTGGAGGGGTGAATGCGTGGACGGGTGGAGGGGTGAATGGGTCGATGGGTGGAGGGGTGAGTGGGTGGACGGGTGGAGGGGTGAGTGGGTGGACGGGTGGAGAGGTGAATGGGTGGACGGGTGGAGGGGTGAGTGGGTGGACGGGTGGAGGGGTGAGTGGGTGGACGGGTGGAGGGGTGAGTGGGTGGACGGGTGGAGGGGTGAATGGGTGGACGGGTGGAGGGGTGAAGGGGTGGACGGGTGGAGGGGTGAATGGGTGGACGGGTGGAGGGGTGAATGGGTGCTATGATGGATTATACGCGTTTAGCGTATATATGCGTATCGTATATACGCTGGCGTGTATACGCAATACGCTTGAGGGTCGGATCAGGCATACGCTTTTTCGGGCAGGGGAAAAAAAATTCGGGCAGGGTGGAAAAAAATACCCCCTATCTCATCTCACTAGGACGTGCCGTAGCATTTTCCTGAGTCCGATCGGCGAGTGGGGTGGGGCGGGGAGTAGTCATCATAGCTAGAGAAAGTAGTGTTGGAGAGGCTTTTCAAGTTGGAGTGCGCGGTGACACTGCTGGAAGCGGGAATGCAAGGTAGGAAATGACGGGTTAGGAGTTGGGTTGGCTGGTTAGTAGCGTGAGATTTGTTGGGGGTTCGATTTTGATAGGTTGGATTTCGTAGATAAGATGGTTTTCAATGCGGTAGAGGGGATGGGTTCAAATGCCTAGATGGGATCTGAAATTCGACATTTGAATAGCTAGATGTGCCTGAAAACTTCAAAGTCAGATCCCAGCTTGCCTAGACCGCGGATTTGCATTTCGACTTCGGCGAAATGCTCACCAAGAAAATCCGCATCTTTTCTGCGATTTTATTTTTCCGGGCTGCCCGGAAAATTTTATGGCAGCGTATTGCGTATTCGCTACCGTTTAGCGTATTGCGTGTATACGCTAGCGTATATACGCTAAACGCGAAGGGCCTCGAGCGTATAATCCAACATAGAATGGGTGGACGGGTGGAGGGGTGAATGGGTGGACGGGTGGAGGGGTGAATGGGTCGACGGGTGGAGGGGTGAATGGGTGGACGGGTGGGGGGTGAATGGGTCGACGGGTGGAGGGGTGAATGGGTGGACGGGTGGAGGGGTGAATGGGTGGACGGGTGGAGGGGTGAATGGGTGGACGGGTGGACGGGTGAATGGGTGGACGGGTGGACGGGTGAATGGGTGGACGGGTGGAGGGGTGAATGGGTCGGCGGGTGGAGGGGTGAATGGGTCGACGGGTGGAGGGGTAAATGGGTGGACGGGTGGAGGGGTGAATGGGTGGACGGGTGGAGGGGTGAATGGGTGGACGGGTGGAGGGGTGAATGGGTGGACGGGTGGAGGGGTGAATGGGTGGACGGGTGGACGGGTGAATGGGTGGACGGGTGGAGGGGTGAATGGGTGGACGGGTGGAGGGGTGAATGGGTGGACGGGTGGAGGGGTGAATGGGTGGACGGGTGGAGGGGTGAATGGGTGGACGGGTGGAGGGGTGAATGGGTGGACGGGTGGAGGGGTGAATGGGGGTGAATGGGTCGACGGGTGGAGGGGTGAATGGGTGGACGGGTGGAGGGGTGAATGGGTGGACGGGTGGAGGGGTGAATGGGTGGACGGGTGGGTGGGTGGCTGGGTGGCAGAGTGGCTGGGTGGGTGGGCGGTTGTGTGGATGGGTGGGCGGATGGATGGATGGGTGGTTGGTTGAGTGTGGGTGGGTGCGTGGTGTGTGGGTGCGTGGGTGGGTGAGTGAGTGTGGTTGAGTGCGAATGAAAAAGGTAAGAGTGTGAGTACGTGCGCGAGTCGTTGCGAGGGTGCAAGTGATTGCGAGCGTGTGCGAATGAGGGTGACTGAGTGTGAGCGATTGTGACTGAATTAATGTGAGCTGTTGAGTGTACGAGTGTGATTAAGCGCAAGCGAGTGCGAGTGAGCGCTAGGGAGTGTGTGCGAAAGTGGGGAGACAATATGAGGGGAGATGATGAGAGGGGAGGCGACACACCTTGTGCAAGAGCCATCGCTGCCATCCCCCGCACCTGTTGCGCCACGAGCGCCTGCTCCAAGTTACCGTTCATCCGTGGCAGCACCACGTTGCACGTGCAGCAACACCAGTCCAACCACGAGCTGCCACGTCATTGCAGCTCCTCCCCCTCCGTCTGTCCCTTGCACTCAACACCTCACACCTCACACACCATACACCACACACACCATACAACACACCACACACACACAGCGCACACCAGCAGCATCATCAGCACTCTCCTCCTCTGCAGCTGCCACTGGCGCCACTCCCCCCTGTCAGCGCCCTCCTGCCACAGGGACCCTAGTGTGCTCTCCCCTTAAGTGTCCCCCCCTGACTGCGTTCGGCTCCCTCAGACGCGACCACTGGTCAGCAGCAGGACGGACACGAGAGCACAACGACAACACGAAAGCATGCACGAAACGAATGAGTGGTCAGCACGAACAAGCAACAAGTGAATGGTTCAGAAAGGGTTGGGAAGGGAGACACTTGTGTAGGAGGGAGGTTAGCAGGGAACTTAGCCAGGTTCAGAAGCCACTCGGCACTTGTCGCCTTCCGGTCGCCGTTTTCCGCTCGTCGCTTTGCGCCCGCCGAACTAAGCTTCGCCTTTCGCTCAAGGAAAATACGTAAGCAGCAGCGCCGCTCGCCACTCTCTGTCACATTCCGATTGCCACTTTCCGATCGCCGTCCATCAATTGTCGCTTACGCAGGTCAAGCACACATGCCCTGCACACATAGCAAGCACACATGCCCTGCACACATGCCCAGCACATGGCATGCACGCAAATCGAATGGCGGAGTAGTAAGCAAGGAATGCGCAGGGCAAGCACACAGGCAGTGCGGGGATGGCATGCGGGTGTGAGGGAGAGGCGCCGCTGCTCTGGTAGTTGTCAGGGAGAGGCGCCACTGCTCTCCCTCCCACAAGTGTGCGAACAGAGCGGAGAACGAACAGAACAAGTGTGGGTGAGTGAGTGGTAACACAAGACAGCGGGTGGTTGGAATGTATGGGGACGGGGGAAGGCGCATGGCCCACGGCACTACAGTAGCGAGTTAAGGCAGCGAGGGGTGAGTGGGGAAGAGAGGGACGAGCATGGTGTGAATGCATAGCAACCCCCTTCACTCCACATGAGCTCACTGCTGTCATGAGCCACCAACGCCATGCACCACACAAGTAGGAATTAAAACACGTGCAGCAGCAACGAAAACAGAGTCATGGGGACTAACACCAAGGGGGGTGTTAGGTGGGAGGATAAAGACGCTTACGAGGGGAAACTTACCGGTGACAGGGACCCGTTGTAAGTCGTACGCTGCTCGGAGCTTTCAGAAATAAGCCGGCATTCGCCGATCCTCAGTGCAAGCGCGTCGATCCCCCAAAATCACGTCCAATTCTCGAACCAGCGTCCAAAGCGGAAGACTCCAGCGATGGCGCCAGCAGCAGTCGCCAGTCGCCTGCAGGTCGCTGCCATGGTCGCGCGCAGATGGCAGGCATGGTCGCGCGCAGATGGCAGGCATGGTCGCGCGCAGATGGCAGGCATGGTCGCGCGCAGATGGCAGGCATGGTCGCGCGCAGGCCATGGCGGTCATGAACGACAGCACTCCGCATCGTTGCTAATGAACAGAGCCAACGCGAAACCCACAGGGTGCTGCACGTACGCACGGCTCGCGGCATCCACAGGTCAGAAACGTATGCAGGGACTGCGGAAGAGCTGCACTTGCAACGTCAGGCGAGTGGCAGAGTGAGCGCCGTGGCGGAATCGTTACACGTCGCGCCTGCTGCAGTGACCGCTGTGAGACATCCCTGGTCTGCGGGAGGCTGAGAACACTACGCCGTCGTTCGTTTGAGACGAAGCAGTTCGCGTCGCTGCCGTCTCACCTCTCCACTGCTCCCCCTCAACCTTCACAGCTTCAGCGATCCACGCATGTAGCAACTGGCCCTCCCCGTCAGTCGTTTTTAACACTCTTCAGCATTCCATCGCGTGTGGATGCGTCAGCGCAAGGGAGGACAGATGCGTGCTGCCTGGGGCTCCCAAGATTGACCATCTCAGTGGAAACGGAACACTCATTTGCAGCATCTGGAGCTTCAGGAACAGTCGGCGAAAGAGGAACCATTGAACGACGCCAGATAAGTGCATTATCTTCAACATATTGAAGAGACAAAGCTTTGACATTTAAGAAGATCTGTAACTATGATGTGGAATTAAACTACCATTGCTGTTACGTCTTACTTTCCGGCAGGGAGCCGCCCCCCGAGCAGACATACCGTACGACCAGACCCGCTGGAAGAAATACGAATCGGGTAAATTTATAAGCGCCGGCGTTTATAAAACGACATATATATTTTATATATGTTTTAACACCAAGCTGTAGATCTCGTGCTAGCCTTTTTCAATCGAGTCGAAGTTCTGTGAAATTTCTCGCGCGCGCTGGAGATACACCTACTCTGACAGCTCCTGACAGCTTCTGACAGCTTCTGACAGCTCCTGACTGCTCCTGCTGACTGGTCCCGCATCCAGTGCAGGGTCCGAATGTGAAGGGAAGCGAATCTGCAACACATCCCCCTGCTGAAGTAGAAATCGTTACAGTGTTTCGAACACAATTCAAAATTTAAAGTTTACGTGCGCTTATAATAAAACAAGTTTTTTCAGGGGGGTGCGCTTATAATCGAGCACCGGATATAAGCGCCGGGCGCCGATTAAAAGCGCCAGGCGCTTATCCGCGGGTGGCGCTTATATCCGGGGTATGACGGTACCAGTTTCAACTCTGCGTGCCACTGACTGGAGTAAAAAACGTAATGACTCCAAGAGTATCTAGCATGTAGGATGAAGCAGAGTTTAGCACACTGGTAGAAAGCTTCATCCTTAGTCAATGAAGTGTAATGATGTGCGGGTTACATCCAGAACCAAATCAATACAAGCTCCTGAAAAGAAAAACCGAAGTGCCGTTAGTCTCTAATCTGATGCTCTAGATTATTAGTCAAGACAAAATCGATCACCCTCATCTCATCAATGTGCCTGGTGCTGACAGCAGACAAAAACGGTACGGGAACTTACTGTTTGTGCTGAGAGCCTGGTCAGCTGAAGGTGATCCGGATGGCTCAATATTGCTTGATATTATTGCTTAAAATGGTGGACTCCAGATTGGTTGATATGACTCCTTAAGCGGGTATCCTGAAGCGGGTATCCTGGTCAACATGTGTCCTCACCTGAAGTGTCAATGAAAGGCGACCTCATGATGAACGTGACTCGTACTAAGCTTAAGCATTCCCATTATTACAGCCATATACGGTCCCTGCACGAAAAAAAAGCGTCAAGAGGAGAGTCGACATCCTAGGTGTAAAAAAAATGCCATTCTCACCGTGTGAACGGGTGACAGGAAACCAAGCTTAAACCTGTGCATCCTCATATCCACCTGCGTGAACACGAAGCAATGAAAGAACTGACTGACGGGAAGACGAAATGGGATCTAGAACAGAAGTACAAGCACCAGTATAGCCAAATCACCTTTAGCAGTGAAGAAGCTTCTCTAGCAGTGAAGAAGCTTCCCTAGCAGTGAAGAAGCTGCCTTGTGAGGTCTTCCACCCAGCTTAACACGCTTCCATGTAACATTCACAAGAACGTGCACCTTTTAAGGGTGAGACATCAGATTACAATGAACGAATGGTCGGCGAACAGACAGGCAGGCGTACCCTTGGCAAAGTTGACATTCTTAGGACTACGCTCTCGCTCTTGTCAGTTCCTCGACCTGAAATGCCATGATGTTTCGTATGAATGAGAGTGCTAAGACGGCTTCTAGCAGAGATCACGCTGCTTGTGGTGCGTGAAAGTCTGCTCGAGACTAGGTGAAAGTCGAAGACTCACAGCAGCAAAATTTCGAGAAAACGAATTTCCCAGCCCTGCCTGTCATGGAGCGACCAACCGCGGACTGTTCTGGGATCAGTGAGCTCGAGATTTGGCAAGGAGCTTCGTTTAGGAAACACTTTGTTTTCCGCATTAAGTTCGTACAACAATACTCTCTCAAGTTTGGACAATATTCATACAGGAAGAAGTTGAAAGTTAGCATACTACTTATCAATTTGTAGTTGATAGCAACTCAACTACCACATCAAAATGTTTAGAGACGTCCCTCGGTATAACCAAATGGCAATGAGATTATGCTATCGCCCATCCTGAGTTGCAAAACTCACACCCAGCCCCAACAAACCCTTCCGCACAACTCGATCTCTCTTCATTGCTATGAGATAACTAGTTGAGCTGACGTAAAGAACGGTACCGTAATTGAGCCAACCATAGACTTTCCATGTTATCCATTTCCTTGCCTCCACTGTCCACACCACACACTTTAGCTATCACCGGTAACAGGAGCCGGCTATTGCCAAGCTGAGTCGCATTGCCTGACAGAACCAGAAACCGCCACCCTTTCCACGCTAATATGCCATCACCCGCATGTGGGCACTTTTAGTGGCCCACATAGTCGACTAAGGGGCAATTTCCGCCGCAACGAAACCATCCACCGTCAGCAGCAGCGGTGATCCTAGCAGAAGTGCCCATGTGCTGCTCCATGCGCTCGTACCATGGCACAATACTACAAATTCTCTAACCCCATCTTGTCCCAGGGGAATCTGACAGCCCTACTTGCCCGCAGCAGCACCATTCACAGCAGCACCGTCAGCAGCAGTGATCCTGGCAGAGGCACCCACGTGTTGCTCCATGCGCTCATACCATGGCACTACGCTACGGATTCTCTAGCCCCATCTTGTCCCCAGCAGCAGCACCATCAACAGCGGCACCAACAGCTGCAACACCATTAGCAGCAGTGATCCTGGCAGAGGCACCCATGTGCTGCTCCACGCACTCATACCATGCCCCTGTGCTCGAATTCTCTAACCCCAGCTTGCCCCATGGCATCTGACAGCCCTACTTGCCTGCAGCAGCACCAGTCACAGCAGCATCGTCAGCAGCAGTAATCCTGGCAGAGGCACCCACGTGCTTCTCCATGCGCTCATACCATGGCCCTATGCTCGAATTCGCCACCATGTCCCTGCCAGCTGTCAGGTGCCTGATTGGCCGCAGCACCCCGAACACTGCCAGGTCAGCGAGGTTCGGGGTCTCGCCTCCTGTAGGCAGGGAAACAAGGGGACAGCGTAGAGAAGAGAGGACACACCAACTTAGCATGGCAGTCACAGACGCGATTGCAACCCACACAACTCACTGAGAGATGCAGCGCACTGGTGCACTGTCTTGCAGCGTTTCGAGTCAACTCGAAACACACCCACTCAACCCACGCAACCCACTCAACCCATCCACCCCACAGACAGCTTATTAAGAAACTTCCTGTCGCCAAGAGCTGCCTTGTAGAGGTCCGTACGCTCGTCTGCTATGCCGTATTTCTTCTTCAGTTTCACGCAGTGCCAATCATGCATGTCCCACCACACCCAGTAACCCCACTTACTTCACTCCAACCTACCAAGAAACTTCCTGTCGCCGAGGGCCGCCACCCACTCATCAGCCGCCTTGTAGAGGACCGTGTGTCCTGAGTCGACTCAAAGCGCACCTGCTCACTCCATGCAACCTAATCACCCCACTGAGAACTTACCAAGGAACTTCCTGTCACCGAGGGCCGCCACCCACTCATCAGCCGCCTTGTAAAGGTCAGTGCGCTCGTCTGCTATGCCGTGCTTCTTCTTGAGCTTCTTGCCGATCATATACATGGCGCCCGCGCCAAAGTACCGCGCCATCATGCGCTCCCATGCTGTGAAGTTGCCTGCATGGGGCCGAAGAGGAGGGCGAGGAGAAGAAGGGATTGAGTCCACTCTCAAAAACCACTCGTCCGCTATGCCGTGCTTCTTCCTCAGCTTCACCGCTGCACCACCGCCAGCTAATACGCTGCGCCACCCGCTCATACGCTGCACACGCTCATACGCTGCACCGCCAGCTCATACGCTGCACCGCACGCTCATAAATCCACTCGTAAGTGAAGCAGCGAAGGTGGTGAGGGTGGTAGGTGGGGAAGCATTACCGTTGGTGGCGATGTAGTCGAATGCCTCTAGTGCCTCGGAGGGACGTATGAGTCAACTCGTAAGCAGCAGAGGGGGGGGGAGCGTTACCGTTGGTGGCAATGTAGTCGAATGCCTCTAGCACATCAGAGGTAATTTTTGAGTCGGCTCAAAAGTGCAGCGGAGGCTGTGGTGAGGGTGGAGGGGGAAGAAGCATTACCGTTGGTGGCGATGTAGTCGAATGCCTCTAGTGCCTCAGAGGGCGAACGGTAGATGTTGGGCGAGAGCAGATGCACGAGGTGCCCGTCCACCCACCTGAGATGGATGAGAGATGGAGTAGAGTGTGCAAGACACACATGGGATAAAGAGTGAGAGACGCACATGGCTTTTGCGGCGCCTCAAAGAGCGGTAGACGTTGGGCGAGAGCAGATGCACCAAGTGCCCGTCCACCCACCTGGAATGGGTGAGAGGGGGAGTAGGGAGTGAGAGACGCACCACGGATAGCTGTTATACTACAGGGGAAGCAGGGTGTGAGGGGTTGACAGCGGTACTCGCACCAACAGATCTCATCCTCTCATTTCAACTCAACTCGCCCCTTCTCCCCCCATCCTTCAACCCCCCACTCACTCACTTCCATTCCATGTACGAAGTGTAACATATGCCTACATTCCTTTTCCCCACGTTCCCACCATCCCCCTAACGCTTTTCCCCTTCCCCATCCCCTTTCCCCCACACTCCCCTCCGCAACCCCTTTCCACCCCCTACCTGCCCCATCGGGTCTCCTCATCAAGCTCCTCCTCCGCCTGCCCCTCCGCCACGCTGCGCTTGCCACCCCAATGCGCCTCGTCCCGAACCCCCTACTCTGATTCCCCCTTCCCAATCTCCCTCCCCCAAACCATACCTGCGCCATCTGGTTTCCTCATCCAGATCCTCCTCCGCCTGCCCCTCTGCCCCTCCGCCCCTCTCCGCTCCCCCACTCCCCCTCTCCCCCTCTCCCCCTCTACCCCACTCCCCCTATTCCCCCTCCCCCCCTATTCCCCCCACACCATACCTGCGCCATCTGGTCTCCTCATCCAGATCCTCCTCCGCCTGCCCCTCCGCCACGCCCCGCTCCCCCACGTGCCCCACAACCTCCGCCACTCCCTCCGCCACACCACTAGCCCCGCTGCTGCTAGCTCCCCCCGCGCTGCTGCCACTGCCGCCGCCAATGGCGCTGGCATACGCGCCAGGCGCAGAAGCCGCCGCGGCGGAAGCAGCAGGGGCGGCGGGGGGGATGTTGGTGGCCTTGGAGGGGTTCAGACGACGGTGCAACTCGGATATGATGGCTGGCGCGCGGTGAGAGGGGGAGTGGGGATGGTGGGGGGAAGTGGGGAACGGGGAGATGGGAGAAGGGGGAGGGGGAGGAGGGAAAGTTGAGGGGGAAAAGGGGAGGGAGAAGGGGAGAGGGGGCGCGTTTTAAGAAAAAGCAGCAACGGCAAGGCACAGGTGTAATGCGGCGAGTTGGCGCATAGAAGGCAGCAGAGTGAAGGGAGTTGAGAAGGAGGCCATGAGAGAGTGGGCGCGGAGCGATTGACAGGGCGTGCGGAGGTGCGGGAATGGTGAGAGGCAGACTGACAAGACCCAGGCACCTGGTCCAAGCAGCGGCGGCGAAAGGGCCAAGGAGGGCCAAGAGCAACAAGACAACAAGGGACAAGAGCAACAAGACAACAAGGGACAAGAGCAACAAGACAACAAGGGACAAGAGCAACAAGACAACAAGGGACAAGAGCAACAAGACAACAAGGGACAAGAGCCGCACCTGAGGAATCGACCAGTGATTCGCCGTTGACGACAAGGACGGGGACCTTTTTGTAGGGCGACCACTTGAGCTCCTTCTTTCAACGACTCAAGACAACAAGGGATAAGAGGAAGACCTGAGGAGTAGACGAGGAGGGGAGCCGCACCTGAGGAATCGACGAGGGACTCGCCGTTGACGACGAGCACGGGCACCTTCTTGTAGGGCGACCACTTGAGCTCCTTCTTGCCCACGGGGTTCACCTCCACCACGCGATAGGGTATGTCGTAGTAGTCCAGGAAGGCTGGGGGGAATGCAGCAAGGAGGAGGGAAGTGAAGCACGTGAGGGGTCGGCGACCACTTGAGCTCCTTGCTGCCCACTGGGTTCACCTCAACCACGCGGTATGGGATGTCGTAGTAGTCAAGAAAGGCTGTGATGGGAGAGAAAGGCGGCAGGGAGGAGAGAGGAACGTGAACCTGAGGTGTCGACACGACGAGCATGGGGACCTTCTTGCTTAACCCCCACCACGCGGAACGGGATATCGTAGTAGCCCAGGAAGGCTGCGGTGAAGGGAGAGATGAGGGAAGTGAAACGCGAACGCGCCGTTAACGTAGATTACCAGGAGAGAAGATGATCACATTCCCTGTGCTGTCACAAGCATTACGAGCTACCTCCAGCAAACTGATGTTTGCTCTAAACTTGCCATTCAATAGTGTACCTTTGACTTTGTTGCAGAAAGGGCACGCCTCGTACTGGTAAAGCACCACCTCCGCGTCGCGACCCAGATCCACCTCGGGCCGCTCCTTCGCCGCCACTGTTGCCGTCCCGGAAAACGCGGCGACCAATGAGAACGAGGCGCCGGCGGCCAGCAACCAGGAGCGAGCGGAAGTTGACGACAGAGACGGCGACGCAAGCGACGGAGGCGAGAACGGATGTGACGTAAACGACGATGCGGATGACGTCATCACAGATGGAGCAGCGACCAGGGACCTGGGAGTTATCGACAGTGAGTGGCTCGCCAGTGTACCAGCGAATGCAGTGGCGTTACTAACGGATCTGGCACTAACGGGTTCGACGGTGATGGATCTGGCGGTGACGGTTCCGAGGGGCGGAGTGACGGGGGCGTATGGCGCATGGGTGGATGGCGGATCGAGCGGTGTGTGTGCGGGAGGTAGATCCGAACGCGTTCTGGCTGCTGGCGAAACGGCGTGAGACGATGCGAGATGCGAGATCGAGGGATGGGCGGTAACAAATCGTTGGGCTTGATCGGACGGTCTAGAGGAGGCTAGAAGCAGTCTGAGCCTTCCCAGACCGGAAACCGAACCTCTCGCCATGGCGCTGGGGGAAAAAAGGCCAGGAACGACCTTGTCCCTGCGAACTACGGCGCGACGTGCACGCAGCTAACGACGACGTCAGAGCACGCTCGAACGCCACAGAAGCGACCAAAATGGCAGCTTCGGGCAGCGGGGAACTCCTGGGAGACTCAATATGACTTTGATCGCTTGGTGTATCTGCGCAGAATGAAGCTGGAGGACCAAGCGTGATGCATGGTTGGGTGCGGTGTGGTGAGGAAGGCATTCTCCTGCAACAAAAAATAGTTTCCGCGCTTTTGAAATACCCGACACTGGTAAGTGAAAAAGTCTACAATGTGTACAAGAACCAGGGAATAAGAATGATAATAATTTTCGATTTTACAAAAACACCGAAGAACATCCGTAGTCGCATGCGCCGAACTCTTCTTTGCGCACAAACTAAGCAAAAAATGCTCTGATATTTGTATTTGAGCATAGCCACCCAATATGCAACAGCATTCATGTTGTTCGCCGCTTTTCCGTGCGCTTCCAGAGATCCATGAGCGTCATGAGCGTCCATCGGCAACAGCAGCCGTCGTCACAGGCGCCAGACTGCACGCGAACCAAGACGAAAACGCTCTGATATGTGTTTTTTAGCATGAGCCACAAGAATATGCAACAACATGAAGGTTGTTTGACGCTATTCCGTAGACCTTTCAGGATCCATGTGCGTCCTAAGCGTCCGTCGGAAAGAGCAGCCGTCATCGCATGCGCCGAACTTTTCTTTGCGCGCGAACCAAACCAAAAAACACTTTAAGTGTATTTTAGCATGGGCTGCCCGAATATGAAACAGCATGCAGGTTGTTCGACGCTTTTCTGTCCACATGTAGGCATCGATGATCGTCCCGAACGTCCGTCGGCAAGAGCAGTTGTCGTCGGAAGCGCCGAACTTTTCTTTGCGCGCGAACCAATCAGAAAATGCTCTGATAGGTGTACATGAACATGGGCCACCCGAATATGCAACAACATGCAGGTTGTTTGACGCTTTTCTATGCGCCTGTAGAAATTCATGCGCGTCCTGAGCGTCCATCGGCAAGAGCAGCCATCGTCGCAGGCGCCGAACTTTTCGGTGCGCACGAACCAAGCTGAAAACGCCCAGAAAGGCGTATTTGAGCATGAGCCATCCGAATATGCAACAACATTCAGGTTGTTCGATGCTGTTTCGTACTTCTGTAGGGATCCATGAACGTCCTTAGCATCCGGCAAAAAGAGCAGCCGTCGTAGCAGGCGCCAAACTTTTCTGTGTGTGCGAACCAAGCCGAAAACGCTTTGATAGGTGTATTTGAGCATGGGCCACCCGAATATGCAACAACATTCAGGTTGTTCGATGCTTTTTCGTACCCCTATAAGGATCCATGCGCGTTCTTAGCATCCTGCGGCAAAAACAGATGTTTTCGCAGTCGCCGAACTTTTCGGTGCTCACGATGTTAGAAACACTAGGAGTGGGGCCTAGGCTTAGTAGCCTAGGCCACACTAGGAGGAGGTTGTGCCCTAGGACTAGGTTTTAGGGTATACGAAGGAGAAATTGGAGAAGGGAGGGAATGATGGAACTAGCAAGCAGCAGGACACACAAATAGCAAACCCTAAGGGGTTGTACTCACTATTGAGCACCCCACTGCAGGCTAGACAAATAACATATTCTGACACACCCCCATAGCCAAAGTGGGGTGTAATCAGCACAATCAGCAGTCACAGCAATAGTTCATAAGTTATGAGCAAAGCTAGATGTAGTCACAGACGGCAAGTGAGGAGGAGGAAGGACCGTGAGGGGAGAGAAGATGGGAGACGACGTCTGAAGCTGCAGTCACACGGGCAACAGGAGCGGCTGACACAATGGCGGCTGACTCAGATAACTGGTACAGCACATGCTCTCAGTGGCTACCGGGAGCAAGTGCCCCGGAATACAGGAGTAACAGGCTCTGCGGCTGATCAGCAGCGGCAGGAGCAACGGACCCACGGGCGACAGGTGCAGCAGGCTCTCTGAGCTACCGGCGGCCACTAGAACCCCGGAATACAGGCGCTGCGGACGACAAGACGGCTGCCTCCACTCAACCTCCCCCAACTGTCCCACACCCCCCTACACACATCCCCTGTTTCACCTCTAGCTCCACTCCCACATCACCCCCCTAGCGCCACTCCCTCGGCTCCCACACCTCCACCCCCCTCAGCGGCAGCTGCAGCAGTGGGAGACGAAGGAGGAGGAAGGGACGACGCACACGGAGCACCCCCACACCCGTCACCCCCACATCCTCCTGTCCAGGGGACGGGGGGGGGGGAGGAGGGGGGGGGGGGGGGGGGGAAGGGGCGGCGGAACAGAACAGGGTGCTGGCAGAGTAGAGCGCACGAGGGCGCGGGCAGCAGCAGAGCGCACGAGGGCGCGGGCAGAGCAGAGCGCACGAGGGCGCGGGCAGCAGCAGGGCGCACGAGGGCGCGGGCAGCAGCAGGGCGCACGAGGGCGCGGGCAGCAGCAGGGCGCACGAGGGCGCGGGCAGCAGCAGGGCGCACGAGGGCGCGGGCAGCAGCAGGGCGCACGAGGCACGAGGCACGAAGCACAAGGCACAAGGCACAAGGCACGAGGCACAAGGTACGAGGCACAAGGCACAAAGCACAAGGCACGATGCACGAAGCACGGGACACAAGGAAAGAGGCACAAGGCACGAGGCACGAGGTACGAGGCACGAGGCCTGAGGCACGAGGCACGAGGCACGAGGCACGAGGCACAAGGCACAAGGCACGAGGCACAAGGCACGAGGCACGAGGTACGAGGCACAAGGCACAAAGCACAAGGCACGAGCAGCAATGGGCGGCACAGGCACGGGCAGCACAGGCACGGGCAGAAACGGAGCGCACGAGGGCGCGGGCACAGTAGAGCGCACGAGGGCGCGGGCAGCAGCAGAGCGCACGAGGGCGCGGGTGAGACAGAGCGCACGAGGGCGCAGAGAGCACGGGCAGCTGCTGCAAAGGTCCAGGGGCGGCTGCTCCAGGGGCCAGGGGCGGCTGCTGCAGGGGCGGCTGCTCCAGGGGCCAGGGGCGGCTGCTGCAGGGGCGGCTGCTCCAGGGGCGGCGTCGCGGGTCCAGGGGCGGCTGCACCAGGGGCGGCTGCTCCAGGGGCGGCTGCACCAGGGGCGGCTGCTCCAGGGGCGGCTGCACCAGGGGCGGCTCGCGCGGGTCCTGGGGGGGGCTGCTGCAGGTGCGGGCTGCTCCAGGGGCGGCTGCGGCAGTGGCGGGCGGCTCCAGGCAGAGTGGAGGCGGCTGCACCAGGGGCGGCTGCTCCAGGGGCGGCGTCGCGGGTCCAGGGGCGGCTGCACCAGGGGCGGCTGCTCCAGGGGCGGCTGCTCCAGGGGCGGCTGCACCAGGGGCGGCTGCTCCAGGGGCGGCTGCACCAGGGGCGGCTGCTCCAGGGGCGGCTGCACCAGGGGCGGCTGCTCCAAGGGCGGCTGGACCAGGGGCGGCTCGCGCGGGTCCTGGGGCGGCTGCTGCAGGTGCGGGCTGCTCCAGGGGCGGCTGCTGCAGTGGCGGGCGGCTCCAGGGGCGGCTGCTGCAGTTGCGGGCGGCTCCAGGGGCTGCTGCTGCAGTTGCGGGCGGCTCCAGGGGCTGCTGCTGCAGTTGCGGGCGGCTCCAGGGGCGGCTGCTGCAGGTGCGGGCGGCTCCAGGGGCTGCTGCTGCAGTTGCGGGCGGCTCCAGGAGCTGCTGCTGCAGGTGCGGGCGGCTCCAGGGGCTGCTGCTGCAGTGGCGGCGTCGCTGGCGCAGGGGCGGCTCGCGCGTTGCTGCAGGGGCGGCGTCGCGAGCTGCTCCAGGGGCAGCGTCGCGAGCGACGGGCGACGGGGGGAGCAGCGGGCGGGCCCCTTGAAGGCGTCGCGACGAGCAGGGACGGCGCCGCGCGGGTCCCGCAGGGGCGTCGCGACGAGCAGGGCGACGCCGCGCGGGTCCCGCATGGGCGTCGCAACGAGTAGGGGCGACGCCGCGGGCTGCTGCAGGGGCGGGTCGCACGCTCCACGACGACGCCGCGACGGGCGACGAAGGAGGGGGCAGCGTGAAGGCCACCCGGGGGCGCCGCGACGGGCGACGGAGGGCAGCGCGCAGGTCCCCCGGGGGCGCCGCGACGGGCAATGGGGAGAGCAGCGCGCAGGCCCCCTGGAGGGCGCCTCGAGGGACGGTGAAACCGCCACGCGGCCCGAGCGCGCGGCGGGCAGAAAAAGCCGCCACGCGCTCCGAGCGCGTGGCAGGAAGAAAAATGCAGCGCCGCGCACCACGGGGCGCGCGGCGGACAGTACGGCAGCGGAAGCAGTTGGTGGGCCCGTTAAGCTAGGCGGCAGGAACGTGCTCGCTCTAGATACCATGTTAGAAACACTAGGAGTGGGGCCTAGGCTTAGTAGCCTAGGCCACACTAGGAGTAGGAGGTTGTGCCCTAGGACTAGGTTTTAGGGTATACGAAGGAGAAATTGGAGAAGGGAGGGAATGATGGAACTAGCAAGCAGCAGGACACACAAATAGCAAACCCTAAGGGGTTGTACTCACTATTGAGCACCCCACTGCAGGCTAGACAAATAACATATTCTGACACACGAACCAAGCCGCAAACGCTCTGATAGGTGTATTTGAGCATGGGCCAC